GAAAATAAGAAAGGAGAAAATCAAGCGCAGAACTAAAAGCATGCATGTGTTAGAAAAAGTATATTACTTTTTCAAACAAGGACAAAACTCCACAGCTATGTGACCTGAAAAGGACAAAAAGGTTCCTAGGTCTTTGCTGAATTTAGACACTGCTGCTACCAAGACAAGAAATACTTCACACAAGGTCTATCACAGGAAGCAACATTTAATGCAAGAATCTGAGCATTAAATGAGAAGATCAAACTAGTCGTGAACGACTATATCTGCTTCAACGAACACTTGCAACGGGCAGATTTCACAAGACTATATATAGATCTCAACATCAAACCTTAAAAGGTTGGTTGTTTGGCCCGAAATGGTTCAAGCGAGAAAAAGAGTGATATCCAGCCCATGATGCAACGAAACTAGAGATAGAGCATATAGAGTCAAATATACCATAGAGTATTCATCTCTGTAAATTAAGGAGTTCCAAACATGTGCATCTTAGAAGCAAAACCTTAGCGAGTGTGCCAACTTATGTATCCTCTGCATGAGAGAAAACTAAACACTCAATCGTTGTAAAGATTAAGGTAGTGAAACCTTAGAGAGTGTAGATCATATATGTATCCTCTCTATGAGAGTAACCCATACACTCAAACCAAACTTGCCTAGTTGATAATTATAAGGCCTGAAGAGGCTAGGTAAAGAATACTTGTAAAGCCTGGGGGGACTTGTCAAAGAATACTCACTGCTAGCCAGAAGTGGCTGATAAGAATATACTAGCGCTGATGAGTGAAGCTGGCAGGCCAGGAGTGGTCGAGAATACTTGGGGAACCAGAAGTGGTTTAAGAATACTAGCGCTAGTGAGTGAAGCTAGCAGGCTAGAAGTGGTCAAGAATACTTGGAGAACCAGAAGTGGTTAAAGAATACTAGCGTCGACAAGTGAGGTTGACGAGCCATAAGTGGTTGAGAATACTTGTAATCCTTTGTGATTAGTGGAACCCTTTAGTTGAAGGAGACTAGACGTAGCTCAGTTTGAGCGAACCAATATAAAAATATTTGCATTGTTTTATTAAGCTTTAAACGCACTTTCACGAAGTTGATTTAACCTACTGAAAACTTCGTCCATCATTTATTATTTGCTACAACTATCTTCAGATGAAAACAACACATGTTTAATTTATTACCATAAAGGACGACTTGTGATTAAGAAACATTTTTTTTAAGCAGACGATGAAATTCCTAGACGAAGAATCATTCTGTTAAACCAAACCTGGGTAGTTGTTATTTAACAATTACTAACATCATTTTACAGGACGAAAGAAAGTTTTCTTGAGAAAAGTTTTTTTAAAAAAAAATACCTTTGTTCACATACACACATATTCAACCCCCCCCCCCCCCCCTCTCTTCTATGTGTTTCATCTCTAACTTCAACCTTCTTTTGGATCTTGGATCCTTGATTCTGGTGCCTTTAATCATATGACTAATAATCAAACCCTTTTTCTCTCGTTTGTATTTTTAAAACCCTTTGCCTTTTGTTACATTAGCAAATGGCTCTCAAATTCCAATTCATGGCATTAGATAAATACACTCACTTCCTAACTTGTCCCTTGGTTCTATCTTTTTTTTTCCTAGTTGTCCTTTTAATTTAATTTTCATTAGAAAACTCACTCACACTCTAGACTACTTTGTTGTGTTTTTTAATAACTATGTTCTTGCTCAAGATTGGTGTACTAGATAGATGATTGGAGCAAAACACGAGTTTGGAGAATTTTATCAACTATCATTGTTAGTGGCTTATGTCTCCAATGTCTCCCCAGAACTTTCTCACCAACATCTTGGCCATTCTAGTTTGGACAAACTAAGCAAATTGGTTCCTAATTTTTCTTCAGTTAAGTCTTTCCAATGTGAGTCATGTCAGTTGGCCAAACATATTTAGCAAACTTATAGTCCTCATGTCAATAAACATGCAATGACAACTTTTTCTTTAGTTCACTATGATATTTGGGGTCATATACATGTCTGTTCAACCTTAGGTTATTTCTATTTTGTCACCTTTATTGATGATTTTTCCAGATGCATCTGGGTATTCTTAATGAAGATTCATTATGATGTTTTCTCTATTTTTCAATGTTTTTACAATGAAATTAAAAATCAATTAGGAGTTTAAAATTTTGGACATTGATAATGCTAGTGAATATTTTTCTTCCCTTTTTTGCATTTTTCTAACCTCGTAAGGTATTCTTCATGAAACCTTGTGCGCCCACACACCACAACAAACATGGTGTTACTAAATGAAAAAATCATCACTTGGTTGAAACAATTTGCACCTTTCTCCTTCATTATAATGTTACACACTGGTTTTGGGAAGATGCACTCCATACAACTTGTTGCCTAACCAACTGTTAGCATTATTTTATTCTTTGCTATTAGGTTCCTTACTCCATGGCTCCTCATCAAACCTTGTACATTGTCCTTCTTTGAGTCTTTGGATGCACATGTTTTGTCCATGATATTACTCCAGGTAAAGATAACATTTTTTCCAAGTCTCTCAAGTGTTTCTTCCTTGGGTACTCTCACCTTTAAAAAGGTTATAATTGTTTTTTCCCTCAACATCAATGATATATTGTCTCTATTGATGTAACCTTTTCGAGAATACCTTATTTTTCTTCTCTTTCATCATTGAGCTAGCTTCAATCATTACACCACCACTACTCACCTAGCATAGACATACACAATCTCCACCAACAATGACATCTCATGATCCTCCAGTATCATCTTTTGTTCCAAACGCACATTCGCCAATGTCGCCTACACCTAACATTCCTATAACTCTTCGCAAAGGTATTCGATCTTTGCATAGTCCTAATCCCTTATATACCTTTTCTCTTTGATACAATTGTTTGTCTCCCACCTATTTCTCATTTATCTCTTCTTTGGATTCTGCATCTATTCCTAGGTCTATAGGTGAAGCCATGACTGATCACAATTGGCAACATGTGATGTTGGAGGAAATGACTATCTTACATGCCAGTGCCACTTGGGAACTTTTCCCCTTACCTATTGGTAAAACTACTATGGGCTGTCGTTGGGTTTATATAGTGAAGATTGGCCCAAATGGCAACATTGATCGCTACAAGGCACACTTGGTAGCCAAAGAATACACTCAAATTTTTTGTCTTGACTATGGGTAAACCTTTTTTCTGTGGCCAAAATCACCTTAATTCATCTTTTTCTTGCTATGACATCCATCCACCACTGGTCTCTTCATCAATTGGACATTAAAAATGCCTTCTTACATGGTGAGTTGCGAGAAGAGGTTTACATGGATAAGACACTAGGGTTTATAGTTTTAGTTGACTCGCACTTGGTTTTTTGACTTTGTAATTCTCTATATGGTTTGAAGTAGTCCCCTCATGTCTGGTTTGGTCATTTTAGCTTTGCCTTACAACAATTTGACATGACTCGCTGTGAGGTTGATGACTCCATGTTTTCCCTTCGTACTTCAGCAGGCCTTTGCATCTACTTGATTGTTTATGTTGATGATACTGTTATTGTTAGGAATGACTTAGATGGTATCCTTTAACTTGAATCTCATCTCCAAAGTCAATTCAAAACAAAAAACTTAGGTTCACTCAAATACTTCTTGGGAATTGAAGTTGCCCAATCCTCCTCTGGCATTACCATTTCCCAAAGTAAGTATGCTCTAGACATTTTCCAAAAAAATTGGTATATTTGATTATTGCCATAGTGATATACCTATGGATCCCAATGTAAAGCTTATTTCGAGTTAGGGGGAGCCATTAAAAGACTTGGGAAGATATCATCGTTTGGTAGGTAAACTTAATTACCTCATTGTTCCTAAACACCCCTGGTGATAGTCATTGGGATGTAGTGATTCACATTCTTCGATACATCAAGAATATATTAGGTCTTGGATTACTTTATGAAGACAATGGCAATGCCAAGATTTTTTGTTACTCTGATGTTGATTGGCTAGGATCACCATTAGATAGGTGGTTTACCTTTGGATATTGCATTCTTATCGGAGGGAACTTTATCTTGTTGGGAAGCAAGAAGCAAAACACTATTTCTAGATTTAGTGTTGAAGCTAAGTATTGTGCTATGGCAGCAGTTGCTTGCGAGATAACATGCCTTTGGCAACTTCTCCAACAACTAAAATTTGGAGACATTTAAGATGCTACACTAATATGTGATAATCAAGTTGCTCTCCATATTGCATCAAACCCGATCTTCAATAAACAGACTAAACACATAAAGATTGAATGTCATTTTATGCGAGAGAAGGTCCAGCTAGGTGAAATCATCACTGACTCTGTCATATCTAGTTACTAATTGGCAAAGATATTTACCAAATCCTCGAGGGCTCCCAAGTTGATGACATTTGTAACAAGCTCGTCTCATATGACATATATGCTTTCGTTTTAGGGGGATTGTTAAATATATGATTTGATATGATACGATTTGATTTGATTTGATATGATTCCTTTGTAATTAGAGATACTTGTACAACAAAAATTACGAATTCTACACATTATTAGATGTAATTTTTTTTTTCATATTTTCTTATTTTGTATCCTTATTTATTATAAATAGAGAATTACATGTGTGGTAATACACATTTTTGTAGCATTTCTACACTTATAAAATATTTGACTTTTCTATTAAACATTAGACTTATATTGATAATTACTAAGATAGATTCTACTATTCTTTTAAGTATGTGGGTTTGAGATTAACTCAACTCTACAAACTTATGGTCCGAGAATTACTCTCTATTTATATATTTATATCACTAGTTGGTGTAAAATTTATATAATTATTTAAAGAAAATAATTGAGATTTATCTTATATATCTATTTATTTATTTTAAAAAAACCTTTCAAGCTTTCATATCATGACAACAAAGAAAAAATGAAAAAAGAAAATCCATGTTCGCAAGTCCAACCTCAACTTGGAGAATCGGAGAATCGTTCCTACTTCCTTGTTATCAAAACCCGTTATTAAAGCATATATTCATACATAATTACATATACAAGTGAGTTTCATAGACACCGAAAACAATTTAATATCACACCTTTCCCCCTTTTTGGATCTTCAAACACTAATATACTTCTTCAGTCATCACCATATATGAAGATATTTAATTTATTATTACCAAGATCCTCGTTAAGAAAAGGAAAGTACAACAATACTAAGAAAAAAAACTCCAAAATGCACAACTTCGAAACTAAGACGTCGAGTAGGCCTGTGGAGCGAGCCTGGGCCTGGGGTGCACCAAAAGAGGCACAGCCCGTTGTAGAGTTAGCCCATACGCTTCATCCATATTCAGCTTTTCTGGGTTCAGCCCATTTTCCAGTTCCCAATCGAAGGAATGGGCCAAGGTTGCGGTTAGAAGCTGGACCATTCGAAGCCCAAGACTCAATCCAGCACAAATCCTTCGTCCAGCGCCGAAGGGTATCACCTCAAAGTCATTGCCTCTAACATCAACATCGGGCTTCTCACCGCCCGGTAGGAACCTTTCGGGCCTGAACTCAAGTGGGTCGGCCCACTCCTTTGGGTCGCGCGCTATGGCCCAAACGTTCACCAAGACAGTGGCGCCCTTGGGAATGTGGTACCCGAAAATCTCGCAGCTCTCGGATGCGACACGTGGCAGAGAAAGAGGGGTTGATGGGTGGAGCCTGAAGGTTTCTTTAATCACAGCTTGTAGGTATGGGAGGTGGGCCAAGTCCTCTTCTTTCACGTTCCTTTCTCGGCCCACAACTCTGTCCATCTCTTGTTGGACTTGGGCCAGAATTCTCGGGTTCCGGATCAGTTCCGCGATGGCCCATTCTGTGGTGCTTGATGACGTGTCAGTCCCAGCCGTAAACATGTTCTGCAAAATTTAAACAAAGTCAACACAGTGATTTTGTATTTTACTCATTGGCCGTTTGTTTAATCTTTTCTAATTATTTTTAATAAAATAAGCAGTTTTTTTTTTTAATATTTGTCTAAATTACTTATTACTTTTTTTTTATAAATAATTTTTTTTTTAAGGTTAAAAAGACCCATTAGTGTTGTTCACAAGAGAGCAATTCTCTTGTTTGGTCTAAGCATATAGACTTGAATGAGATGACATGTTGTGTAGTTAGGTAAGGATTTTTGAAAAATGAAATGTCAAATGTGCCCCTCTAATTAAGGATTAAATGAATAGATTACCTTTTACGTGTCAAAATTAGATGTTAAGTTGAAAATTCAACCCAAGTAAGCTTTAAATAGAGGCATTACAGTTAGGTGAGGACTTCTTTTTTATTTTTTATCAATTAACGATTCTCTAACAATAGAATATTGTATTTACAAGTTGCTTTGAATATTGGGTGTTGCCGTTAGGTGAGGAATGCAGCTCTGCTCTATAAGTAAGCCATAGACAAATTGACATAACCTTTTCCATAACTTAGAATGATGGATAAATTTACCAAGAAATACTTTTAAAATAAGAAAATAGAAAGAAAAATTGACATAACCTTTTCCATAAGTTAAAACTAAGATATGTGTAAGTTAAAATTAAAATTTTAAAAAAACTAATAGAAAATAACTTTTACAAATAGTTAATTTATGAGTTAGTTCTAGCTTCACTAAAAGTTTATGCCATTTTTCTTTTTTAGTTTTTTCTCTCACAAGTAATTGTGAAGAAATTTACTTAAACATACTCATAATGATATATGGTTAAGCAAACTTTAATATATTTTTTTAGTAACGTTTTCTGATATGAAAATTTCTGTGCAGGAGAATGAATGTCCTAGTAGTAAAAACAAAAGGGCATGAACCTATTTGTTACTTATTTACTATTTCTATTATTAGCAATGTTTGACCAAAACTAATCATCAACTCCACAGCATTTTCAAATTTTTTATGTTGATGGGTTGTTAAAAAGGTGGTCAATTTTGTTGGCAAGAAGATGTGGAAGAGTGGGTACCAGAAGTAGTGCTTTGATCTCTGTATCAGTTAGTTGGTTGCCATCATCATCGGGTACATTCCTAAGTGACAACAAAGTACTCAACAAATCCTTATGCTTCTCACTCTTGGAAGAAGAACTCTTGTGCTCCTCAACAATGCTAGTTAAAAATGCATCAAACCTTTTGTGCAATTTCTTCATCTTGGCTTGCACCCCTTGAAGGTCAAGCCACTCCAAAGAGGGAATGAAGTCACCAATGTTGAAAACACCAGCTAGCACCATCAACTCCACCACCATGGCTTTAAACTCATCAGCCCTATGATCACACCCACCATTGCCATCATCGAACACTCTTCGACCAATCACTACCCTACCCAATGCATTCGTAGTGCACACGTTCAACAACTGCCCCAAGTTCACTGCTTTTGAGTCCGAACTCGCCAAGTTACGTGTCAATCTTCCTACCTCTTCCTGCATGCAAATTAATTAGCTAGCTTCAATTAGTTATTCATGGGACCACATTTAATAATTAAATGATACATATCTAACAACAACAACATCGTCAACTCTCTTAAAAAAAACAAAAACACATCTTCAATTAAGTAACACATATTTTTAAATAGTTGTATTTATACTATTTCGATCACAATTAATAATTAATTTATATTTGTGAAAGTATTATTTTAACATAAATAATAATAAAACTTGAAAGTATTGGATCTCTCGTATCCTACCACAAGTCTTATAATTTCTGAATTACAAAATTAAATTATACTACCTCAAGTTTAAGTAACCCATTTAATTTTTAATCCAAATTAAATCTTTGTCAAAAATTATTTAATTCACAAGCATGCTTTATTTTTTTTTTTAATATTTTATATTCTCTCTTCTATATGTACCGATATAAATATATACTAAGTAAGCTATAAGAAATACAAAGAACATTCTTTAATTTTAAGCGACACATATGATAGTGTCCACGCGCATGGATATGCGTCGCAAGTAATAATAGGATTGGAATTCTACACGTCTAGTTGTTAACTTTTGTACTATTTAATATTTTATTGTCGGCAGGGTTATGCATTTTAAGTGGAAAAGGTTGAATTATATGCATACATATGCTAAAAAAATTTAATCGTGTTCACTTACTTAACTTTTTGATACAGTTCATAATCCATATATATACTTGGTGAGCAGACTAGGCATGTGAAAAGAATCAAGTAATTATATATCGTTTTAGTAATTCCACTTTTTATTTTCTTATCAATTAACGATTAATGGACTATAGATTGTCGTCAAATAAACAATTAATGGACTTACTTCTTTTTATGGTGGTTCATGCTAATACTTCTGCAAATGTACATAATATTTAATGAGAATTCAACTAAAAAATTAATCTATTTAATGAGAGCACCTCATGGCTTAAAATCACATTAAGTTTTTTTTTTTTTTTTTTTACCTTTATCGATGTAAAATGTAATAAATAATATGATCAAAAGAAATAAATACGAAAATTACTATTATATATATCTACTAGGACTTAATTACAAGATGGGGATGTTCTTTCTTATTTCCTAATTAAGTTTTTTTTTTTTTTTTTTTTACTTCGATCTCTTCTACATATTTCTTCTCCTTTTATTTTCTTTCTTTCTGCCTAATACAAACTTATAGAGAGGTCGTTATTATACTAGAAACTAGAAAGATTTAAAATATTTATTTAAAAGACCATTTGAAAAAGGATATTTTATTAAAATGTCAAACAAAACATATATACTTAGTGAGACAATTATTTTTTTGGATATATAATAATGAAATGCATAATATCGAAAGGTATAGAGTTTTCTAGTTTTGTAACAAAAAAAAATTAGAGTTTTGTAGTTTAAGAATTCTCAAAATTCTTTAAGTTAAATTGTGGCTTGGTATTAAAATCTACACGGTGTGTAAAAAATTTAAATTGGATCTATATTAAAAAAATCTTATTTATTTTAAAAAAAATTAAATCGATCTATTTTATAAAATTAATTTAATTATATAATATTTCATTTTTATAAAATGGATTGATTTAATTTAAAAAAAAATAATTTTATATATAAGTATAAAATAGAGAATCATACTGCATCGAACTAATCTAATTTTTAAAAATCTGATTCATAATTTTGAAAAACCAAATCATTTATTTTGGTTCAGTTTAGATTTTTCAAAATTACATTCCATCAACACCCTCTGTATGTTTAATTTGTGGCGTTGAAAAATAAATATACTACTATGCTTGTGATATAAATAAATTTTACAGATACAATGCATGGTTAAAAATGTTTATAGAAACATCATGTGATAGTTGAATTTTCAAACTAAAGAAAGAAAAGTCAAAAATAGAAAGATACTAGTCGGAAAAAATATTCAGTAATCTAAAAGTACGTATTTTTTTTACTAACTTAAATGGTTATTTTTCCATTTCGTAGGAAAAATATTATCATATAAACACTATTAACTTAAAATTAGGTACTATATATATGTATCAAAAAAATATTTTATAATTCATGTGATTTCGACTTCTGTAAAGACAAGGAGATAATGATTTATTCATGGTTCATATAAAATTCCATAGTATTTATCCATTTTAATTAAAAATAAATTTGTATTTACCAGCACATCTCTTTTATTTTGACGAGTCAGATCTAAATCAAACTTACTCAAATTATTTTGTCTTCTTTCTCGTCTTAAAATTTATGTAAATTAAACATGCATATAGAATATTCCTTACATATATATATATATAT